CCATAGTGAGGTGGTATAGAGGTACACAAGAGCATGGAAATCTTTGAGCACATCACCCAGCATGGGGACACAGCAATAATTTAAGCGTTCTGTCAAACTTCCATAGTTGTCCTGTAATAAGGATTGTTTGATGGCTGCTGTATGTAACTGCCTCATAATCATTCTCTTTACCGTAGAGCCAGCCAGTCATTTGCCAGTGATACCTGCCCCAGCTCGTCCTGTGGTCCCTCCAAAATCCAGGGACATCTCCAAGTCTGTTGCATCAAGAGCTCTCACGAGGAGCTACGAGCGTTTCATAGACAGTGTTGACCATTAAAGTCCTTGTGCCAGTGCTCTACATCAAACATCTGCTTACTCGCGAAGAGCGTGAAAGGGCAACACAGACAACAGAAAAAGCCAACCAAAGACTCAATCATTTTAATGCCTGGAGACGACGCATTTATGCCGATCATAATGTAACTTCACACACTGTGAAAGATCTCATGACAAGCCGCACTGGAAGCAGTGGCGTGAGATGAAAGTGAATTTCATAAAAATGGGGGTGGTTACCGACATTGTTAAAAATATATGTTATTACGCGATATATGATGATGAACATTGTGGAACCAGCAGAAAACAACAGCCAAACCCCCATGACACGACCTGAAAATGGAGCTGCAAAGCGTAGAGTCCAAGTTTGCATCATTTTTAGCTTCACGTAAAAAATGCAGTAGTGACTTGTTATTTTTTACACCGTGTGATAGTATGATAATAATTATACGTACAGCAGCAGCGAAGCGGAAGGCGGAAGTCATCTCACGTTTACTTCACGCATGAGCACAGTAGAGCATCCCGAATCGATAAATGGCACCAGCCGTGGGGGACAGGCCGTAGCTGCGAGTAGCATAGAAGTTCAAGTCAGACTCGACTAGGTTCAAGATGAGCGCCCAGAAAGCCTTCGCTGGGAGTAGACGTCTCGGTAAGGAGGCGTACCAGTTTCAGTTAACCTCCGAATTCGAGATACTCGCGTTGGAATGCAAGGGGACCCATGGTAAGCTAGCTAAAATCCCTGGCTCATGATTACTGTACTATATATTATTCGGCAGCCTCGATGAAAATGTCTTATTATACTGCAGGAGACCAACAATGCTGAAAGTCGTGTGGTTCAGAAACATCGCAAAGTTGAATCAATCCCCGTAAGTAAGGGGTCGCACAACTTTTGGTTGTGTATCGAGCAATAAAGTTGCTATAGCATGAGAGTATATCTTATTGTTTGGAGAATAAGCAAGTTTTTTATCGTGAAAAACCGACCAATAGTAATGTTTGTACAGGTAAATGGGTCACTAGTGAAGACGAGGACCCAATGGAGCTTCGGGAATGGCGAAGTTTAAAACCGCCTTTCTCTGTGGGTCTTGTTGTCACCCTCTACAAGGTATATACACAGTACAGCTGTCCCATTCCTCTTGCTCGTGTCGCCTCCTTGGTCGGGCTCGAGTGCGTGGAATGCAGTGAAACACCTATACGGATTTCCATTTTATGGTCATTGATTCACGCATAATCTTTGTCCAAAAGTTAAATGGCAAACTAATAACCTGATGTCATATGATCATGTGTCTCTAAAATTCACAGGGGAAGGGCAGAGACAGATTTGAAGAAAAGGAGTACAAATATTACGTACAAGACGTGAGTGTAACCACAGTAACATGCCAACAATGCCCCAATTCCTGCTTTTTTCACAGCAAAGTGAAAAAAGGAAGAAGTTCTGGCTTCGTTCACAAGTCGACCTCAAAGAATACACAAGCCCTCTGGATATGAATGCAAGGTCAGCATTACACTCTTGCTGATGTATTTCCTTTTTGCTTGGCATAATTATTATACAATTATAGAAGAAACATCCTTTTCTCTATGTCTGGGAAAAACCTTCATTGGTGTCTCTTCGGGGCCCCTAGCTTCTGCAAGACATATTATTGTCACCTTCAATAACAGTGACCGTTCACTAGAGGATGTTTGATACAGAAATGTGCTATTGATGGCAGAGGATGCCTTGAGATGACTCTTCCACAACGAATCGCATAAAGTCGATCGGGTGGTTATGGGGATGACCCTCTCGTCTCAGCTACTCAAGAGGGGCAAAGGAATGTAAGCACAACAAATTTTCCCGCACCTTCAAACGATTATTACACCAAAAATTGTTTTGGTAACAGTGGTCATTGTGACTATTCACATTTCCAAAGAATGCTCGGCCCTTTTTTGTAATATTATATAGACTGAAAGTATATAACAGACAAGGCTAAAAACACTGCTGAACAGGTGAATAACCCACCTAGCTACCTCCCCTCCCCCTCGGCCTTCCCTCTCCCTCTACCTACTTTTCCTCCCCTCTCTCCCTCTCTCTACCTCCAGTGATTTACCTTTCCTCTCTCCCTCTCTCTACCTCCAGTGATTTACCTTTCCTCTCTCCCTCTCTCTACGCAGTGATTTAATTTCCTCGCTCCGCTCTATACTCAGTGATTTACCTTTCCTCTCTCCCTCTCTCTACCTCCAGTGATTTACCTTTCCTCTCTCCCTCTCTCTACCTACGCAGTGATTAACTTTCCTCTCTACCTTCTCTACCCAGTGATGTACCTTTCACCTCTATCCCCTTCTACATGAGTGATTTACCTTTCGCTATCCCTCTCTCTACCTGCAGTGATTTTATGATATGCAGAGACCTTTAGTGCACTGACCAGTGAAGTGGGGAACCAGATGCTGCACCGATGTCGAGACAGATATGGAAGACGAGGAGGAGAAAGAGGGGGAGAGGGGAGGTGGAGGGGGGCAAGTCGGGGGAGGGAATCAAGGTGTGTATGAGATGGAGATGGATCGGGAAGAGTCGGGTGTTGGCCCCTGCGATTGAAATTGGGGTCTAAACAGTGTCTCCAATTTAGACAAGGGAGCCAGGAGTGGTAGATGAGATGTACAAGATGATTTCACGTGTCTTCGTATGGTCTGTACATATGTGTTGTATACGTCCAGAAATCCGATTTCCTTTAGGAACGTCCCCCGTAATATAGTGAATAAGGCACTATGTAGGGATTGCAGAACAGTCTCATGTGCTCTACTGTTAACATTGAGTCGGTAATCATAATGATCCATGGCTGAGCTCTTCTAATGCATCATGTTTGGCCTAGTCATGTGGTTTACTATAATTTCAATTAGCATGTGGTGTAACAAAAGTTACCCGAATAAAAACCCAATTCTTATGACACTCAGTTTTGTCTAGTGTCATGATGCGTAGTACTCAACTCATCACATGGTGGACTTTAGTAAGATGTGAGATGCATTCTACTTAGGTCAACAAATGGGTTGTGAAGGGAATTGTTGGAGTATGTAATAAACTTCACAGATAGTATGTACATTCCAGGTAAGGGTTAAAGTGTGCTATATAGTTGGCATTTCATTTCAAATGAATGTGAGTGTAGATAGAAGTATTATATAATATATATCTCGGGGCACCTGTTCTTTGGAGAACACAATGATCTGCAGTCAAGGAGTTCCCTTAGGCTGGGCTTCACAATTATTTCTCACTGCCCTGCCCGTGCCGCGGAGACGGATCATCGGCCGCCTGCTCATCTATTGTCCTTTGGGTGGGTGCCGCAAAAGTTAGAAATGGATTCTATCCTTGCGACAGGGCATATCGGCAAGGCCCGACGGGGCAATGCAAACCTAGCTTTAGTTTAAGGAAGAATTTTCACATTCAGTCATCTACATTGTCAAGTATACGGAATATCTCTTGGTTTAGAAATAATTTTCATATTTCATATACAATAGTGCCAAGTACAAGGAATTTCCCTAAAGATTATCGTATTTGCCATTTTCCTCACTTTAAATTTCCTCATGTTTTCTCATTAGGTAAGGATCCCCCCACCGTAACGATGGAAGCCCCAACCCCTGGACCTTCCCCTGTCCCACGAATCCTGCCATCCGCCTCACACGCATCGAGCTCATCTCTTCGTCCAACTCCTCCCCCTTCTTCAAGCCACACCTCCTCAGCCTCTCCCTCACCATCTCCCTCCACCTCTCGTTCCTCCTCACCCGGCGTGAGCTCATAACACAAATCCAGTCTGATACAAACCACAAGTTCTGAAGGCAGCGAGCAACGTCGACCAGGAAAGCCCAAAGGACACGGAAGGAAAACAAAAATTGTTTGGGGAGAAGGAAAGAAAGCATCGTGCCAGCCATCGAGTCAAGGACTGGACCATCATCCGGAGGAACAGCAGCGTGTCCTTGTTTTTGTCCCCCTCTCCCCTCCGCCCCCCCTATCCCCTTACACCCATCACTGACAGCTCACAACAGACCTGGACGAGATTGAACAGCATGGTATGCTGTCAAATGTGCAAAGTTCCCAAAAGAGTAGAAATATGGTATCTCTATTTGTTAGTAGAACAAACAAGTGGTTTATTGGTTGTTGTGAGAATTGATTTATAGCAGCTTCTCCAGACATTAATTACTCTATTTTGTCACAGGTGAAAAAGTTGCAAGAAACAGTCACGAAACTGGAGAATGAGCACAAAATAATTCACGCAAGCATGGAGGTAATTATTATTCTCTTACATTCTGTTATGGCACAATTTCTAAGAGAATAAAGGACACTTGGTTTCGCCCCCTACTACCTAAATACAGGGACACTTGGTTCTGACCCCCACTTACCTCGATAAGGACACTGGTCATGCCCAATATACCTCGAATAAGGGGACACTTGGTTCTGCCCCATACTTACCTCGAATAAGGGACACTTGGTTCTGCCCCATACTTACCTCCGAATAAGGGACACTTGGTTCTGCCCCATACTTACCTCCGAAAAAGGGACAATTGGTTCTGCTAGACTACCTTGAATAAGGGACACTTGGTTCGGCCTCATACGTACATATGAATAAGGGACAATTGGTTCTGGCCTCATACTTACAGCAGAATTAAGGGGACACTTGGTTCTGCCTCATACTTACTCTGAATAGGGACACTTGGTTTGCCTCATACTTACCTCTGAATAAGGGACACTTGGTTCTGCCTCATACTTACCTCTGAATAAGGGACACCTCCAAATGTTTCGATGCCCCCAAAGTGTCATTTATTCAGAGGTTTCACTGTAACCCCTTAATACAGCGTCAATCATGTACGGTGAAGCAATGATAGGGTGCAAAATTGCTCATTTAGATCCAGGGCTGGCTGTTCAAGCGTGGGGTGAGAGGAGTCACTGCTAATGTATGGAGACGGCGGTTCTTCCGCGTGGAAGGCAGCAAGATTACTACTACCAAAGTCTCGCTGCGCCTACAGGGACCAAGGGTACAGTAATGCCAATGCCCCTATATACTTAGCTGCACACACAATGACAATGACTTTGTTAGGAATGCTGACCCGTGACGTCCTCACAGCACACATGTGTCAGCATATGCTGTCTGCTATGCTTAGCATGCAACACCACAATGACAATGACTTGTTAGGCAATTCTAATTGTGTTTCTAGCACAAAGTCTACCACATACAAAGTATATATACCACCTGCCGAACATGTACACCGTTATTACATACTGCAGCATTACGTCATGGACAGTTGGTTCAGCATAGCTTAATACATACAATATCTACCACTTCCCAAGCATACTGCAGCATTACGTCATGGACAGTTGGTTCATAATACATACAATATCTACCACCTCCCAAGCATACTGCAGCATTACGTCATGGACAGTTGGTTCATAATACATACAATATCTACCACCTCCCAAGCATACTGCAGCATACTGCTCATGGACAGTTCGGGTCAGTCATAGCTGAATACATACACAATATCTACCACCTCCCAAGCATACTGCAGCATTACGTCATGGACAGTTGGTTCATAATACATACAATATCTATCACCTCCCAAGCATACTGCAGCATTACGTCATGGACAGTTGGTTCAGCATAGCTTAATACATACAATATCATACCACTCTCCAAGCATACTGCAGCAGTACGTCATGGACAGTTGGTTCAGCATAGCTTAATACATACAATATCTACCACCTCCCAAGCATACCGCAGTATTGTGTATCAACTGTTTGTTTAGGGTATAATAATATTATACCTTTTGGTCGTATAACAGGTTCATTGATATTGACTTGGTGGTGGGGGTACATGAAGTCTGTCCTGAGGAGCAGGACAAAAACTGCAGCACATTCATCGTCCATTGCGAGGGCAGGACTTTCCAGCTACAGGCCATCGACCAGCCAACTATGAGAAAGTAAGACAATACTGATGTACTAGTTAGACAAGAGCGATGAGCATAGCTACTTTTTATTGCAGGTGGATAAGGGCCATTGAGTTCCTGGCTGACTATAGAAAATCTTACACGGAGAAGAGAAGGACAGATATCATGGAGAGACTGGACGCTAGTTACCTCTAAATCTGCATACATCTCGTGTGTCTTGTGAATGTTAATGTGTGTCTGACTGAGCTTCCGCCTTTGTACCGCGCATGCGCAAGCAAATAACCGTGGGCACCCTACCACGTGTATGTTTCGTTGAGCGCAAGTGTGTAGAGAGGGACTGGATGCCGAAGAGAAAGAAGACTAGATCCTCTTCTCTCACGCGGCTAGCGCGGTAACTGGTCTTATTCAGACGCATGAGAATAAACTCATTGGCTGGAAAGCTTCGCGAGTAAGATATTTACCTCCGCTTTGTCATAGGGTAGAAGAAGAGGTGGGACGTGGGGAAACGGCGCTGACGAACTCGCCGAAGATGGGTACCGGGAAATTGAGGACGAGGTTGAAAACGGACGGTAAGGTACGGAGGAAGAGAGAAGGTTAGGAGTGTAGTGCAGTCAGTAGAACCTGGATGGCGATTTAGGATTTAGCTCAGAGATGTGCCTCCTAGCGTTGACCTTTGTCCTACGTGATAGTTTTGAGAGAGTTGCTCTGTCCACATGTATGCCAATAGAAGGTGAGCTGGTGAGGGTGGTGGAGATAGATGTGAGATGTGGGAGGAGGAGGGGGAGGAGGTGGGAAGAAGACTCACATTGCAGAGGGTCTCTACCAACGCCCACGCACGCACGAACTTCGAACTCTGAAGGAGACGTCAGACCATCTATCAGTCTAACCTCATGAGACTACAGGTCCATCACACCTCTCTCTTATCACGTTCTTGTGTGTGTCAAACTACCTTACTGACGATGCCAGTGCTACGACGAATGCGGTGTGGTGCTACAATTTAGGGTGACTATAGACATGCAATTTTTTCTTTATATTTTTCTCCTTCGCGCGAGAGTTACAACCTTTTTTCCTCCCTTGCTCTCTGTAGATGGCAGAGCTGTTGAGCTGAAGTAAAGCCAAGCTTATCTCGTGGCAGATTGGAGGACATTCTGTCCAGTTCTGCGTACAACGCGAGATGTCACTTCCTCCACTTCTACTGTTGACGAGGTTGAGCACACACACCAACTGAATGCTGTTACGAGGACCATTTTCCATTACGGTTTTTTTTTACCGCTGGTTCAATTATAAAGTGATATATTTGAGGGAGGGAGAGGAAGAGACCATGTAATATACAAGTTCCAAAGTTTTTTTTTGAGTTTTTCAAAGTTTTCCATCTCCGAAAGAAAAAACACTGCTTTCCCTCTCGAGAAAAACAATGCTTTCCCTCTCCGAGAAAAATAGTGCTTTCACTACTCCGAAGAAAAACATGCTTCAATCTCGAAGAAAAAATAGTGATTTCCCTCTCGAAGAAAAACAATGCTCCACCTCTCCGAAGAAAGAGAAAAACTTGCTTCCTCTCCGAAGAAAAACATGTTTCCTCTCGAAGAAAAAAAACAAATGCTTGCCCTCTCCGAAAAAAACTAGGCGTTCCCTCGCCGAAAAAAACAAAAAATGTGTTTTCCTCTCCCGAATCGAAAAAACTAGTGCTTCCCTCTCCGAAAAAAAACCAATGATTTCCCCTCTCCGAAGAAAAACAATGCTTCCCTCTCCGAAGAAAAAACTAGTGCTTTCCTATCCGAAGAAAAACAATTGCTTTACCTCTCCCGAGAAAAACAATGCTTTCCCCCTATCCGAAGAGAAAAACAATTGCTTCCCTCCCGAAGAAACAACAATGAGTCCCTCTCGAAGAAAAAACAAATGCTTTCCATCTACGAAGAAAACCAATGCTTTCACCTCTCCGAACGAGAAAAACCATGATCTCACTCCCGTAAGAAAAACAATGCTTTCCCCTCTCCGCGAAGAAGAGAAAAACTAGTCTTTCCCTTCGAAGACAAACATGCTTTCCCCTCTCAGAAGAAACGACAAAACAATGCTTCCCTTACGAAGAAAAACAATGCTTCCTATAGCAATGAAAAACAATGCGTTCCCTCTCCCGAAGAAAACAATGTTTCCCGTCTACGAGAACCAGAAGGAAAAAAAACATGCTTTCCCTCTCCGAGAGAAACAACAAGCGCTGGCCCTCTCCGAAGAAAAACAATGTTTCCCTCTCCGAGAATTAGAGGAATAGTGAGTTCCCTCTCCGAAGAAAAACAATGCGTCCCTCTACGAAGGGAGAAAAAAAATGCTTTTCCAGCTCAGAAGAAAAACCAAGGATTTCCGCTCTACCGAAAAAACAATGATTTCCCCTCTCCGAGAAAACAAATGTTCCCGCTAGAAGAAAAACATGCTTTCCCTCATCCGAAGTAAAAGGAAAACAATGCTTCCACTATCCGAAAGACAGACAAACAAGCTTTCCCTCTCAGAAGAAAACACTGCTTTCTCTCGAAGAAAAACAAGCTTCCTCTCGAAGAAAAACAATGTTCCCTCTCCGAAGAAAAGAAAAACTGTTCCCCTCTCCGAAGAAAAAAAAAATGCTTTTCCTCTCGAAGAAAAAGAAAAACAATGCTCTCCCTCTCCGAAGAAAAACATATGATTTCCTCTACGAAGAAGAAAAAAAAACAATGTTTCCCCTCTCCGAAGAAAAACCAGCTTTTCCTATCGAAGAAAA